AAAAAAACCCCCCCCCCCCCCCCCTTCAAAAAAAAAAGAATATGACAGGAGAGGGTGAAGAAAACTGTTCACTACAGTAGAAGAAACTGAAACAAAATCTCGTCTAGGAGGATATCACCTAGGATTAAGATAGTGGTCTCCATATCCAAGAATCCAAAGTACATCATAGCACCTAGGGGTGGAAATGAACCAAATAATTAACAAATAGTTCGATAATTGTTCGAGTTATTATTCGGTCATATTCGATTCGGTAGTTCATTTATCACTAAACAAATATTTTTTAGTATTCGAGTTTACTAACAAATAGAATTTAACCAGATGTATATTCGATTCGTTTGTCTATCAAATATTTGTTTAAAATTTGATCACTTGTTATTTGTATTATTATAAAGGAATAATTTTTATTTATGAATTTAAATACTATTTAAAAATCAAATTCTCTAGCGGAATAAATATACTTTGATATTCGATAAGTATTCATGAATATTTATCAAATACCAAATATTCGAGTTCGAATTTGAAACTCCATATATGAATATTAGAGTCTGCATTCGAATTCAATAATTTTAAACAAATACAAATGTGTAACACCTTAGTATACGATTCGATCGTTTACCACCCCTAATAGCACCTGGATCAAAAGGCAATGTGGCTCATCAACTACCAAATGCCAACAAGTTACCATTAGAATTCCAAGCATCTACTCCACAACTGATACGATCAATACCAAAAAATAAAAAGGTTTCCTAGTACTTCGAAAACATAAGCTGATGACAAAAAAAAAACTAATACACCAAAATTCAATTAAAAACCGCAAACTTTTTCCTCCAAATAAAAAAACCCACCTGAATTCAGAGGAATATAGTAAACATCCCCCACCACAACCCCATCAGGCCCATCCAACCCATTCGCCGTCTCGATACTATCCATACTCACCCCAAACCTACTAGCAAGCCCTTCAACCGTATCCCCCTCCTCCATCACGTAACTCATCAGGTAATTCCAGAGCCCACTCGAGCACCCACAATACAACCTCAAGCCCACAACGTTCCCTTCCCTAACCACCCTGCTCGAATTCGCGAAGCTCGCAAGGGCGCCGTAGGCCTCAGTGACCAACGAGTACGCATTGCCTTGTTGGCGAGCGGTGAAGGTCGTGTTGGTGAAGTAGCGGCGAGAGGTGAGGCAGGAGCAGTTCTTGCGGATGAAGAGGTAGTTAGGGTTTGAGATCGGGTCGGAGGTGACGTCGGCGATGGTGGCGTCGAACATGCTGAGGATTTGGGGGAGTTCGACAGTAGGGTTTCGGAAGCGCGAGGGGAGGAGTGCAGAGCGGGAGGTACGTCGCTCAGCTTGAGGCGGTGGGGCGAGAACAGCAGAGGAGAGGGAGGAGGAGGAGGAGGAAGAAGGAGAAGAGACTTGACATTATTAGGGTTTGAGGAATTGGGGATTTGGGGGGTTGATGGAGGAGAGAGAGGAGAGAGGAGAGAGGAGCATTTGTATAGCTAGAGAAAGAGAGAGAGAGGGTACAAGAGAGTGGGGACTTCGAAGAGATTGGAAAAGTGAAAAATGTCTTGAGCCAGGAGATGAAAGAAGGTGGAGGATAATGACGATATTGCCCACAAGGTAGATGGCTCTTTCAGTTTAAGCTTTGCTCATAACACCCTCACCTGTAAACGTTTTCCATGCTGGACCCCCGTTCTAGCATTTGCAATCCAAGCGGACCACAAAGGTCCTTTGCCTCTGTACGTCTCAAGAGAGGGTGCAAAAGAATGTATCTGTCCACGAAGAGAACATAGTCTAAGAAGGCCTTAAATTTTGTATCTTTTTTTCTAAGAATTTCTAGCCTTCATCTTTTTGACAAAGACGGTATTAAGTTTACCCCTCTTCGATCGCCTAAAAAGTCCATAACTTTTTTTTTCAACAACTAAGCACTTAAGTTTTACCCCGTTTTCTAAAAAGCCCGCATATTTCTTTCCTAGACTAACGGGAAAAAAGTAGGAGGCTACTTAGAAGAGATGAATAAAATTTGGGGATTTCGACGTCAATAAGGAAAGTTAATGACTTCTTAAAGGAAGAGGAGCAAAACTTATGAGCTTCTTTGTCAAAAATAAATAGTTGGGGACTTCCTAGAAAAAAATAAGTAAAACTTAGGAGCTTTTTAGACTATGTTATTTGTCCGTGAATATGTCTATCCTTGTACTTGTTAGGATATGGAATGGTTACTAAATAAATATATCCAATTGGATATAGTTATAGAGACAGTTATGTAGTGAAATATAAGGATTCATATTCAAAATATCCAAACACATGTTCATCTTACAACTGCAATTGTTTTGATCCTTAGGTTAATGGATTCAAAGTTAATTTTGATGATCAAGAGATTTAATCTTAGGTTTTTAGATTTAATGAATATATTAATTTAACTCATTTGTACAATATGAACTATATTTTTCTCTTATTCAGCTTTCTTATATCCATTTTATATCTGCATATATTTGCATAGATATATGCATGCATGTACCCCTCCGTATGCGATCTTGACTGAGTTGAATATTGTCGCTCCTTATTAAGACATATGTATTCATATCCATAATGGTCGCAAATATATAAATATGATAGGTATCATATTTCAAATATCACTTTCCACCCCTAATCGCAACTCTTCAACACTTGATTGTGTGTAGCCTTCAAATTTTAATACGGGTTGTTATGGTGTGTAGGTTGTCTAAAATTTACTGTAGATAGATTATCCTCAACAAACATCGATGATGAAAGTTATAATTTGACGGCTTTTAAAAGATTACAATTTAAAAAATTTTACGTAGATCGATGAAGGTTACAATCTGACGACCTTCACAACAACCGATGAATGCTCTAATTTAATAGCCTTCACAATCAATATCGGGAGTTACAACCTGATGACTCTTATATTTTCAATGAGCCAAGACGACGGTTACAAGATGACGATATTTGTAACCATCTAGCAAAAGAGACTACAAATTGACAGTCTCTTCAAATCAAAACACAGATATCTCTCAAACTGTAATGAATTTGACGAAATGGACGGGAGTAAACCGAACCCTATGGGTGGGTTTGATCAGCTCCGTCTTGTCGAGATAGTCGATTTTCATATATAATTCGTCCAATTCCGACTTACGGTTTGAAAGTTATGATATGTTCTTCGCAGCAAGTTATGTTCTGAAGTCTGTTTGTAATACCGGATTTCGCATGAACATTAGACTTAGCCTGAGGCTCACCAAGCTCGTCTGAGGCTCACCTCTGCATTCTAGAGTCAAGACGCAGAGTTCATCTCTGCGTCCCAACAACAAAATACAGAGTTCATGGCTGCTTTCCAGAATGCAGGATTCATTGCTACGTTTTCAGCCTGAAACGTCGGGTTCAAGGCCGTGTTCCAGATTCAAAACGCAGAGCTCGTGGCTGCATTCTAGACTCAAAACGCAGATTTTGTGACTGCATTCCAAACGTAAAATGCAGAGTTCATGACTGCGTTCCAGACTCAAAAAGCAGAGTTTGTAGCTACATTCCAGACTCAAAACGCAGAGTTCATGGTTGCATTCTAGACGCAAAACGCAGAGTTCATGGCTACGTTCTAGACTCAAAATGCAGAGTCCATGGTTGCGTTTTCAGGCTCAAATGCAGAGCCCAACTTTGCATCCCAGGTCCAGAACACAGAATTCATGTCCATAATGCAATTCTTACATTTGACTCGTTCAAACACGAGCTAAACGGTTTCAAACCCGTTTTCCACGATTTTAGGGGATCACTCCCCCACTTAGGACCGAATTAAGGGGGCAGTTACATCCCTTAATCCCCTATAAATGATAGAAACCTCAACTGAGTTCGGGATCTCCAATGGGATCGACTTTTTACATCCGCCATATCGCATAAAGAGAGATCGGCATTTGTGTTCTTGGAGATCTTGGAGCGTCCTTCAGCAACAAAGTACTTGGAGCTTAGTGTTTGGCTTAAAAACCAATTTTTTGTTCAAATCAACTCTGTTACAGAGTTTAAACTCGCTCTGAGTCCTTAAACTCGTTAAGAGTTATTTTCAAACTTATCACACAAGTTATCTTCGATATCAATCAAGAGGATTCGACCGTGTTCCGTGAGTTTAAGCGTTTGGATCATCAACGAAAAGAAAACTCGACGCGAGCATTCGAGGGAGGCATTCCATCGATACCAAGAAGAACCCATTTTTAAACAAAAGGAAGGATCTCTGTTGATTTCTTCTCTCTTTTGTAAATCAGGATTCCGACTGAGAAGAGTGTAATTTCTTTTTCTAAAGTTTGTTAGAGAGATATTATATTGAGAATGTTGTAATCATTCTTTATCTAAGTCAGTTAGAGAGAATAACACATTTTTATTCTCAATTGTCTTTTTCAAATTTTCCCAACAAACATGGTGATCACTCACCCAAGATACAGGTATATGCAAAAATACAATAAGAGTCCTGGCAAAATGACATTAACCAACTTAAGTGGCCCAAGCTCAGCAGAGGCCTTGACCCCGCTGACTCATAAAGTCGACCTTCTTTCATGCCGACACGAAAGACGGGATCAGTTGACCCTATCGTCGAGGACGACTCACCTAGGGCATTCGACTACTCACTTGGCAACTCACAGAGACGACTTGATAGACATTCCTTATTGTCGACTAAGTTAAGGACTCGACCCCTGCCTCAAGCCCCTCCTCTAGAGCATATGTCAGCATCCCAGTCCACCTTAGACAAGCCTTATCCAAATTTTGTTCCGATGGTCTTCGTAACTTGTCAGCTGCCCACGTGCATTTTGCCACTCTCTCAATCACTTCCCAAAAATGCGGAGACACCATCTCCTATGCTGAAGTGACTTCCCTTCTAGTCACTAGCCGATACCCGTAAAGTGAGGGATGACTCAGCATGCTAGCATGTCTTCTGCCACGCTTTCAATCACTTCCCGAAAAAATACGAAGACACCCTCTCTCGTACCGAAGTGACTTCCCCTCTAATCGCTAGTTGACACTTGTAAAGAGAGGGATGACTCAGCTCTTAGCATGCACTGTAGACACTAAAAAAGTGCCAAGGAATAAAGCAAAGTTGAACCTTGCTACAAGCATGACGAGGCTCGTCATCATAATGAACCTCATCTTAGCCAACGAAGTCCATCCGCTGACGAACCTCATCAAACGACACTTCACCCCTCAAAAGACGAACTTCGTCATTGAAGATGAAGTTCGGCCAGAAAAGAAGTTCGTCATTCAAGATGAAGTTCATCCAGAAACGAAGTTCATCCAGAGACAAAGTTCGTCATTGAAAATGAAGTTCGTCATTGAAGATGAAGTTTGCCGTTACCATTGTTAACGAACCTTGTGCGTAGTCGAACCTCGTCTATCATAATTTTTAGAGGCTACATTTAAGGAGGGTTAATGACCAATAACTCACCCATTTAAGGAGAGTTAATAACCACTAACTCACTCATTTAAATGAGAGTTAATTATCACTAACTCCCTCATTATAAGGGGAGTTAAAGCCCATTAACTCACTTTATAATGGCCCTAAGCTTATAAATAGGCATGATCAACATGAAAAGAAGGGAGGAGATTGAGAGGTTAAGGAAAAAAGCCTATCTCTCCTCCACTCTCATGGATTTTCATAGATCATTGGCTAATCATTTGGTCTTAGAATGTTAAAACTCATAACGAGCATGACGAGGGGTCATTACAATGATGAACCTCATCTTAAACAACAAAGCTTGTCGTTGGAAACAAGATGTGAAGCTCGTCATTGGAAACGAGGTTTGAATCTCATCATTGGAAATAAGACTTGGCATCAAAGACGAAGCTCGTCATTGGAAACGAGGTTCGAAACTCGTCATTAGATACGAGGTTCGGGAGTTCTTCATCGGAGGTGAAGTTCGTCAATGAGAACAAAGCTTGTCATCAGATTTAAAGCTCGTCAGTGAAGAAAAAGCTTATTATTAAAGAAGCTCACGGGGCTTGCCACGCAGCGAGGCTCGACATCAAAGACGAGGCTCGTCACGCAGTGAGGCTCGACATCAAGGATAAGGTTCGCCAACGCAGTGAAGTTCGCCACCCACATTAAATCAGGCTGTAACAGCCACGAAGACCTAGTTAGCCACGTGGGCTAGATTTAAGGAGTCAGTTACACCACGACTCTACAATTTCAGCGTATCAGTTACGCCCACGACTCCACAGTTGTAGCACGTCAGTTACGTGTCCAAACTCCTATAAATAGCCTCAAGCAACAATTAAGAGTGGACTGGACTTTGGCTTTCGATACTTGGA